CCACTTTAGCATTTTACCCTTGATTAGCCTGAACCTTTTAAAAACCTGTTCTACTTCTTTTAAAATTTACTTTTCATTTATTTATTTTTGTTTTTTAAGATAAAGGGGTGAGAAGAGGAATCAGATAGGGAAGATTGGAGTAGATAGATGCTTTCAAATACATTTTTTTTTGGAAGGCCCATTAATAATTCTTAACCAAACTATCAAATTAGACAATGAAGCAGAGATATTAAGAGCCACTTTATTGGGTGTATTTTCACAGGTAGTTTTATTAACGCAGGGTTACCTCAGTCAACAAGAGAACATTACACATGATGGATGTCAGTCAGTCTGGTTCCATTTGGCTGAGAGCTCTGCTTCACAATGAGCAAAAGTGTTGAAACATTCAGTGTTGACTGAATGTTTGTGTGCTTATTAGTCCAGGAACATTGTTGACCATTAGCAGATAAAGATAGATTGGCAGCACTCATGATTAGATTATATATTTTTTCAGTTTGTAAGATTCCTTTCTCCTTTGGAAGTCTGTCAAATTATAGCCATACTTACTGTCAGGTGTTATAATGAGGCTGGTTTGTGAGATTTTGATGGCAAAACAAGGGATCCAAAAATAAGTAAATCTTGCTATAAACCAAACCGCTTAGTCCTAGAAGTTTCCTAGGGTAAGATATACAGGAAAGATATACTGCCAAATGCTCAGGCAAGCTGGATATGGCCCAAGCCAGGCCTCAGGAAATCTCCCTTACTCCCAAGATCAAGTCTTCCCACAAGTTAGTTGTGTGGCAAGGTAAGTGGCCAGATTATCCAGCAGCAGGCCCTGGGTGAATTTATGCCTCAATGTCATGGGTTCACAAAGAAAGAAGACACACAAAATGATGTGTGTATCCCTTTAAGACACAGGGACCCTGCCCATTAGCAGGCATGGCCCAACCCTTGCCCTAGAATTGTAGAGGAGCAAAGGAGTAGGGTTGGGCTGGAGGGGCTTCTAACCACACCCATAAGAAGCATTCCAGTAATAAGTCATTGTACAGCACATTATAATTTGCAACTTCATGTGCATTATCCTTTTAATCCCCACCCTCTGAGTTATATTAACATTACCATCATTTTACTGATGAGGGAACTAAGAGTCAGAGAAGTTATACGACTTGGCCATGAGCCTTACAGATTGTAAGTGGTCCTCTAAGTGCAGTGGTCCTCTGTTATATTGTGGCTGCTCCATATTATAGCAGGGATAGATTGCTTCTGTGCATCTAATTTTATTTTCCTTCCAATAAGATAACAGTGAAGTTGTAGAAGTCATTTATTATTACTGAAGGGGAGCTTGGCTATCTAAGAGAGTAATTTGAAGTTCTGTAATTTTTTAGTATTCCCATTATATATTCCTGGAGGATATTCAATAAGAGACATAAAAAGTATTTAAGATTATTATATAGATATATAGTTTCTAAAGTCTGATGATTATCATTTCTAAATCTTGGTTTCCTTCAAATTCCATTAACCATTCAAAGACTGCATTGAGCTTCAGCCATCTGCAATCAGGCTGCAGGAAACCTTGGTAAAGAAATTCAACATTTACACATAAAAAGTGCCGAGCAAGTAAGCAAATGTGCCATACACGTAAAATATGCAGAAGCATTGATTTAGTCATTTTGGTTTGGACAACTTTGGGTGGAAACACTTTCAAAGTTTGAATTAATCTCCAGAACACTTGCTTTGGAAGATTGGATAATACATTTCAGACATTCTTTCAGGTCATTTTGAAATATCTTTTGTTATGTAACTGCTGCATTTTACCACTTCAAATATGTGTTCTGTCTCTGGAAATACGTAGTTTTAAAACTTAAAATAAAAATATGAGTGAAACTGCGTAAGAAATAAAACCTATTTTTGAAAAATTATTCAGAGTATAATAAGCTGGGATTTTTTTCTTAAAATGATCCTATTTTCTTCGGACAGTCTGTTTTAGCATTGGGAGGGCTAAAGAATGGGTTATAGAATTTTCAGAGTTTATTTGAGAAATTGCTTGTTTTCACCTTCTCTTCAGCATTTTAGCTGAATCAGACTTGTGTTGTATTTCTTCTTAAGTGGTATTATTACATCAATTTCTAAGACAGTTTCTTTTTTTTAAATTTGAGTTGTAACATTTTTAATCCTATTCGAGTTAATTTTTCACCATTTTTATCCTAGTTGCTTGTTATATTATAGATGATTTCTTTTTTATGTTTTTCTGTTGGCCAATTATGAATATTGTGTTTTGGTTTACTGAACTGTTGACTCTGACATTTAGTAATAGGAGTAAATACTTTCTCTTCTTTTTAAGACCACAAACATTTATTTAGTTTAATTACCCTTATTATTATTATTTTTTGTATTTTTAATGTTTTCTCTTTATTAGTGTCTTTAGGTTAAAAATAACAGTCAATAAAAAAGTTTACTTGTCTGTAAAAAATATTAACAGTATTAAATAGTGTTTTATTTGTGGGGAGGAAAGGAGGGTGACTTTAACTGAGGAATTCTAATTTAATTATAATGCCCTCAGGAGATTTTCATAAAACTCGCAAGAGCTGAAACTCAGGCTTTGACAGGAACAGTGGCTTTTCAATGCCCTCTGAAGCTTCATGTGTTAGTCTGGCTATAGGATTATGGAGTTAGTCTGTCATCCTATTCTGATATTCTCTTGCTTATTTTACTATTATAATGACAATTAAAAATTCCTTTTTTATAAAAGAGAAAAGTATTGTATTGAAAATGCAGGCCACAGATTGGACAGCCTTTGGTTGGCCTCATCTACTTTCTTAGTTTTCAGAATTCTAGTTGCTTAGGTTAGTGTTACCATAAGATGGGTCATTACTCTGTAATTTTTTTTTTGGGGAATTTTTGAATTTTATTTTATTCATTTATTTTTATTTTATTTATTTTTTAATACAGCAGGTTACTCTGTAATTTTTAGTTGTGATATGGTTTCATGGTTGAATCCTGCTAGTTTTGCTGGCTCTTGCTAACAAACTATGCTTTTCATGTTGTAAACTTTCTAGATTGAGACATTCAGGAACAGATTTCCCATGAGGATAAAGAATTTTAACCTTCAGGGGCCTTTACTTGAGTGCATGTCTTTCAAGCCTCTGTACCTAATTTTGTTTTATAATTTTGCACTCCTTTCCTTAAAGACGGCCCCTAAAATTGTATAAGCTTCAGGCCCCGCCACACTTGGATTTACCTCTGGCTAATAAGCTAATTTATTGAAAACTCGAAGAAAAGCAATAACAAAGATATACTTGAGCCTTCAAAAACTTAGTCAAGTGCCACACATTTTTTCCTGGTGGAAGAAATGGTCTGGACAATTACAGCAACTAGTAGAACTAGGTATCTGAAACCAGATGCACACTGATGATTGGGAAAGCATCAGGAATAGGGTTTTATAGGCTTGTAGTGCTTGACTGAGTTCTGTTTTGTAAATTCTCAGACTACTGGTGAGTTTCTCTTAGAAAAAATAGATAATTTAAAATGTTAGGAAATGTTTGTGGTATGTGGAAATTCACTCTTTATGTTTTGTATGTGCCATAGTAATAGCATATGTCTCCTTCAGTTTCTCTTCTTTATTTTCCCTCCATTGGCTCTACTTGTACATATTTCAGAAAAATCCTCATAAATAGTGAGAATGCCAATGCAGTATATGTGTAATACGGAGTCTTAACATTTCATCGTAGTATGGGAGTGTAAAAAAGACCATGCAAGCTGAAACCATGTAATAGGATATTAATACTCAATTGAAAAATTATGATTGTTCTGTGACCTTTAACAGTGTTTGTCAAAGCATTAAAAAATCTCTTACTGTTGGTTATAAGTGCAGGGAAATGAAAATAATAGTCAAACTAATATTTATTTTGTACATTAGAGTATTTAGTGATCTATAACATTAGAAACATTGAGATGAAAGTGTTTCATTTCTTTGTAAAAAGCTATCACAAGTCATTTGAACAATTCTTACATTCTCATAATATATTTTATGATATGAAGAGAGCATTTTTTTTTTTTATCTCTTAGCAAACAGTCATACTCGTTTTAAGTTTGAATCCACTTCTACTCTTTTATCCTTCCACTTTCAGTATCGTGAATTACCTCCTAGGGCTCCTTTAATGTGCAGATTTTTTTACTGCCATGACTTCCTCTGGGAAACCTTGGTCTTTCTTGTAACAGGTCCTTTCCTGATTTATGTTGATAAGTTTGTCCTCACTAGGTTCCTCTGCCTGCATATCTAGAGCCTCTCAAATGACAGCAATGTCAACATTCCCACTATTCTTACAGAAGAAATAACTGCATTTATGTTTAATTTGAATTTCACTTCCAGCATTATCACTTTACATTTCTTTGGTAGACTTTAATCTTTGATGGCGAATTCCTGCTTTTGTTTATCCATTTTTGTAAAATGTCATATTAGTTTACCACTGAGAGACAAGGAGACAGCACAACTACACACTTTGCTTTCTGTGCATGAACTGAGTAGTAGTAGATGCACAGTAATACTGACAGGCTTTAAAAGAAGTGGTGTGATTTGTCACTAATTGTAATGTGTACTTGTTATTTACTAGTGACTTGTAGACTGATGAGCTAGCAACAAAGTTTATACTTTATGCTATCATTCACAGTTAATATACTATGAAAACCAAAATTTGAACTGTGTTGTTGGAAAACTGGTATTATTTAACTAAAGCATAGTAACTAAAATTGCTGCATATTGGACTTGTGTAAAGTGAAGACTGCTTCTCTCTCTCTTTCTCTCTCTCTGTATGTTCAAAATAACTTCTAAAGCTAGATTTTAGCAGGAAGTTTAGCAGTCATGGTTAAAACATGGTTTAAATATTTCACTTCATTTTGTGGGAGCAACATTATATTTTGTAACTAAATCCGAATACTTAATTTAAAAAAGACAAATATATGATTTTATGTAGCATTTGAAAAGGAACACAAAACTGAAATGGATTATTTGGTGTTTTTTCCAGTTTTATGTATGGAGAATTGACTGACAAGAAAACCATTGAGAAAGTCAGGCAGACTTTTGACAACTACGAGTCAAACTGCTTTGAAGTTCTTTTGTACAAGAAAAACAGTAGGTATCTATATTACCAATAAGGTGTGTCAACTCTTTATTAATATTACATCTTGGTAAGTGGTAGTTAAGCTATAGTGTAGAGAGAATATAAAACTTTTATTGCTTCTCTTGGCAGGAGGTACTTGTAAAAATTAGATAGCAAAATTAATAAATAATACGTATGAAAAGCAACCTTTTGAGGACTGAAAGAAAAATATAATGCATTTTGAATGTGATTTTTTTTGTGTCAGGTGGCAAAATGTTCTGTGATTAATACTCATGGTAAAGATCCTATAGTTGTGACAGCAACTAAAAATGACAGAGAAATTCATTCATTTCTTCTTACAGTTAAAGGGAAAGTTGATTGGTGTCAATGGGTATGTGTGATTACCTTTCTACACATATGTAGATGACGTGAGTATATGGTATCTACCTCAGGTGAATCTTTACCAGTATGGCTGTTTGCTAGACTCAGACTGTTTTTGTGCTAGACTTTTGAGTGGAAGTAATCATTACTTTCAGGATGCGCCATTCACATCTGGTAACTTTGTGTTGATTGTTGTTTGCTGTTCTCCATGATGGGATTTGTGGGTGGTCAATTGTCTGTTATATAATCACATAAGACCTCATGATATGGGTCTTAGGCAATTATGGGAGAGTCTGATGAGACTCTCCATTGGAGTTTGGGGGAAAAAAACAACCAAACAAAAAGCCAACTAGTACACTCATCAAACAAGTCTCCCTTCTGATTTGTTTTCTTTGAATAGTAACTTACTTTATTTCTTTTTTGCTGCATTTCCAAACAGAGTTTTGTTTTATTTTTAAAAAGAACAGTCACTGCATAAGATGAGTCAACTTATTTAGTGTTAATGTTAAATGATACCAAAGCCAATTATTATCTTTAGTGGAAATTGATGGTTACTAAATTCTTCCCCAGTTCAGGAAGCATTCTAGCTTCAACAGGAAGCGCTTGTACCGTGTTTAGTGCTGGTTGGGTTTTGTGGAGCATAATTTATCCTCTCCATTGTACCTTAAACATTTGCTCTTTATGGAATATTTAGAATTTTATTTAGGTTTCTCTTTTTATTAATAGACCATCATAGAGATAACAACAACCATAGACATTGCTTCACAGTAGTAGTGAAGTTCCATTACCAGTATCACCTGGTTATGGGAGCGCCGGTCTTCAGTGGTTTTACTTAAGGAACATCTTATCATCTTATCTTTCATTTTAGAATCAAGGCTGAAAATGTATTTCTCTTTGACATCATAGCCAAATGTCCGTTGGCTTACCAACTAGAAAACAATCCATTCTGAATGATCAGCTCTGTCTTCTACAAGAGAAAAGCCAGTTTCTAGGTGCTTTCTGGTTTTTTTTTTCACTAGGTCCAAATACATACTGATAAGCTGTAGTAGACCCATATGCCAAAACTCCCTTTCATTGTTTTTTTTTTTTTTTGCTGTGCTACGAGTCTTCTGGGACCTTAGTTCCCCAACCAGGGATCAAACCTGTGCCCCCTGCCTTGGAAGTGCAGAGTCCTAACCACTGGACCAGCAGGGAATGCCCCCTGTCATTTTCATACAGGGTTGTTATCCCTCGAATGACTTCAATATGTACCTCGAGTTTAGCAAATAATTTAAGAATATTCCATATTACTAGGGTCATTTAACCCTGGGATTTAAACAGAATAAACGAATCTTTTTCTGATTTTAAAGTTTCAAAGCCAAGTCCATAGTTTCTGATTTTCTCAAAAATACCTTTGTGGAAATGTTGTTTTGTTTAGATCCTTTAAATCATGTTAACAGTAGCTTTTTTTTTTTTATGTCTTTATTGGAGTATAATTGCTTTACAATGGTGTGTTAGTTTCTGCTTTATAACAAAGTGAATCAGTTTTACATATGTTCCCATATCTCTTCCCTCTTGTGTCTCCCTCCCTGGCTTTAATATTTCGTTTCCAAAAGTTTCCTTCCAAGGTGGTTTGGATAGTTTGCTTTATTTTAATAGCTTGTAATAATTGTCTGACCTTTGTTCAGGCCTGTCTGGTTCTTTTCAGATCTATACAGTATGTATACACATGTAGCTGTCTGCTTAGAGCCAGTAGGAGTTATGGCCCATAGCACTATAGATTAAAACTCCTGTCTCTTCTGGAAAGTATCTGCATTGAGTTTTTTTTCTTTAATATGAAGAATAGATATTATCCATGCATTATAAGGCAGTTCTACTATACTTAAAAGCAGCTTTAAAAAATCTTGTAAATAGCTAAAGGCTTTTGAACAACAACTGAAAAAAGTGTGTTCTTTTGACGTTTTTTAATGTTAGAAAAAGTCACATGCCTGTAGAGAACTGTTTGGGGAATGCTTGAATGCCAAGTCCTCCCAACACTTCCATTAAATAATTAGCTAAACACCATTTGCAGACAGGGAGATTGAGGTATCTGATTTAATATGTGTCATGATTGACATTTCAGTTTGCAGCCTCTATAGGTCCATTGCTCTGATTAACAGTGGGCTGCTTCTACTGTTGAGAAAGAAGCAGTGGCTCTGGGATGATGACTGAAAATGGATCTTTCTGTTTACACAAAGGCAGAACTGTGATAGCTAGGGCAACTCCAGATAATCAGTGCCAGGGCACTGCCTCGAGTTTCCAGCAGCCACAGGCCTCTCTACCTAACCTTCCCAGACTTCCCGTCTCCTTGAACCCCAAATCCAGAATATGGATATTTCACCAACCACTCAGCAACAACCACTCAGCAAAAACTCAGCCTACTTGGAGAAGTCTGAGCCTGTGACTAAACCTGAAAATAGTATACCGTGATATCTGAAAACAATTTTAAAAACAGCTCTGACTCAATGCCAAAATTTGAAAAGTTGCTGTTTTCATAGGAAGGTATGAACTGTAACATCTCTTTCTGTTCAGATTTCTAGCCGACCTTGGAAAATGACTTATTTTTAATACCCCTTTCTGTCTGTTTATAACCTTGCTGCCTCAAGCTCACTGTGTTGGAACAGCCATAGGCCATGTATCTGCTAGCGTCTGGGCCTGGTGATTTGTCAAACTGTGTACATCACTCACAGTTCCTGGACACACTGTGTAAAATAAGAAGCAGAAAACAAAGAACAAGGCTTTCTGGGAGATAGTGTGATTGTTTTTGAGGTCCCTGTCTCATCCTGTAATCATTTTGGAAAAGGCCATGTCCTTCTGTAGGCCCCCTGGGGTTGCAAAGGACCTGGTTGTCAGAACTGAATATTTATAGAAATCTCCTCTCTCGAATTCCCTGACTTCTAGCACCCAGTAGTTAAAGTCACCCATTCTTCGGTAAATGGCAAATTCCCCTTTGTGGTGATATCGTTACCTGACAATTTTTGGCCACAGGTGTGGAGGTACTTCTTATTGGTTTTCATTGGAAGTCACTAACAGGCTATCAACTCTCACCTAGAGATTATTAACAGCTGCACATTTCACTCCCCAAATCCCAAACTGACAAAAGACTTTATGTCTTTAAGAATGAATATTTGGAGAGGCTTTACTGCCTGTGGCTTGGAAAGACTATAATGGAAAATGTGTCTTTTTGATTCTGATGGAACATTCCCTCAGTGTTTTATCATTTAATGGGTAATTACTCCTTTGAAGGCATTTCTTGTGTCTTCAGATATTTATTATTTGACCCATTGCCAGTTTCTAATTTGTCCAAATCCTAAACCTTGAATGCTTTGAAACTCTGTGTCCTCTGGAGTCTGTAGGAGCCACTGTTTGAAGAACATGGTGACAGAGACCAGCCTCATGCTTTGAGTGAGGGAGGTTGGAAGCAGTGTCTCATGAAGACGCCTGAGACTTTCAAGGCCTGGGGACATTTTTTTCTTTTCTTTAACACTGCCTTAAAGGCTTCAGGTATAGCTCTGTGTACATCAGGCTTCTAGTGTTGCTGAGACATTGTATCTCTCTGATGTGGGGATGTGGTCAGAGTCACAGAGTTATAAGTCTATCTGACTGATGAGAGAATCTTGAGATAGAAGCAACATTTCAAAAGTTTCTCAAAGAGGAATACTTATCAGAGCATCAGGTATTGATGTTGAAGTCGACTGGAAACACTTCTCAAAGTGACAAGGAGGAATGCTCACACTTGGTGAGACTATGGAAAGGAGGTGGTGAGAGCAGCAGTGGTGTAGGGACCCAGATCTAAAGCTGATGCTGGCATTGCTTAAATAGCAAGACTGCCTTTATTCCACTGCATTGTGAAATGACACCCCATGCTTTACTTTCAGATTTTGATATTTTGGGTTGAAAAATATGTTCATTAATTTTTGAGCAACTGGTAGTTGATATAAAATGAAAGTTGTTTTGATTCTTTCCAGGAATTAAAATACTATTGTTTTGGTGCTAATTCTTGGCATAGCAGTTGGCAGCTGAAGGAGGAAGGAAAGCGGGAGACGATATCATCGTGGTGGCTGTGTCACGCTCTGTTGTCCTTTCTCTCTTTTACAGGAACCCCTGTTTGGTTTTATATGCAAATTGCACCAATAAGAAATGAACATGAAAAGGTGGTTTTGTTCCTATGCACTTTCAAGGACATTACGTTGTTCAAACAGCCAATAGAGGATGATTCAACAAAAGGTAATTTTCAAGGGAATTACCATACTTACGGATTAGCCTGTCATTTAAATATATTATTATTATTATTTTAACAGCATCCATTGGTTGAACTTGAAAACAAAATTTTACTGTGTGGCCGTTCTTTTGCTTTATTCATTCTAGTAATTGTCCAGAATCAGTTTTATTCAGTCATATTGTTTGAATGGAAGTAGAACATTGAAATATTCATTGGTTAACTTAAATTATAAGTTAAATTATAAGAGGAATTGAGATGAGATAAGGAAGAGATTTAATTTAATAATAGAGCATTATTAATTTTGAATCAATATAATGGGAGTTTCAACACCTTCTATCATACTGAGCTTTAGAAACAAAGCTTGTGGGATTGTTTGGGTGATGTCCTATTAGAACACAGTTGATTAGTTGATTGAATTTTGTCACATTGATTAGAGCTTGATTAGTTGACTTTTCCAGGTTACTTTTCTCCCTTTATTTATTTGGTTGTTGTAGATTCTCTTGGGTAGATGTTGTTTAATTACGTAAAGAACAATTTTGTCATCCAGAAAGCGGCTGGCAAAATGCAAACATTCTGATTGGAGTCTTATTGACTATAATATTCAAAGAGACTGCTATAGAAAACATTAGTCAGTGGCATGTGCTTTTACCCCCTTTTATATGTAATTTACTCTCATTTTGTTCTCTCCAATTATGTTTAAATTAGAAACTGGTGTCATATAAATGCAGAATTTCAAATACCCTCAGAAGATTTTATGAAACATTATTTTTAATAATATCTTAGGAGACTAAAAATGGAATGTTTTCTTTACATTTAACAAACATTGCCTTTTCTTACCTCTTTAAAAAAACTGGCACAGAAGTTTTAATCATTTCAACTGTAATCATAATCATAGAAAAATTGCATTAGGTTTATTCCCTGCATATGAATTCATATGTATATTATATAAGTGTGTGTGTGTGTATATACATATGCTTAGTTTCTGGTTAGCAACAAATTGCAAGAGGAAAATTTTATGACGTGCAGAGCATTTAAAGTATGAGAGAAATTCATTTGTGACTATTTCTGAAAATGTGTGTGTTAAATCATCTCCTGGAAGATCGAATATTCACTTTTCGACATGTACTACCTGTTTCTCTGCCTTTACTCATAGAGCCAGTGTCTAGGAAGTTTAGGATAAATTTCAATATTATTTTTAAATAGAATATCTTTTAATAGTGTTTAGGTTTAATGCTCCTTCGTTTTAAAATTCAAGGTGCTCCATCCAATAGCAGTAGAATACATATTCTTCTCATACTTACATGGAACATTCACTAGATAGATCATATTCTGGCCGTGAAACATACTTTGACAAATTTAAAAGGATAGAAATCTTGCAAGGTATGTTCTTAGATCACAGTGGAGTTAAACTAGAAATCAATGAGAGAAAGACAACTAGAAAACCCCCAAATATTTGGAAATTAACACATTTCTAAATAGCCCATGGGTTAAAGAAGAAGCCTTAAGATAAATTAGAAAAATATTTTGAGCTAAATGAAAATTAAAATACAACATATCAAATTTCTGAGATGCAGCAAAAGCAGTGCTTAGAGGAAAATGTATGTCATTAAATGCATATATTTGAATGAAGAAAGTTACAAAATTAATAACCTAAGCTTCCACCTTAGAAAACTAGACAAAGAAGAGCAATTTAAGCCAAAGCAAGCTGAAGACAAGAAGTAATAAACTTGAGAGTAGAAATCAATGAAATAGAAAACAGAAAAAACGTTCAAGAGAATCACTGTAACTCAAAGCTGACTCTTAGAAAAGAATATTAAAGTTAACGAACCTCTAGCCAGTCTAACCAAGAAAAATGGAGAAGACACAAATTACCAATACAAAGAATTAAAGAAGGGCCATTACAACATGTTTCATGGGCATAAAAGCATGTAAAGAAATACTTTGAACTACTTGATAGCCACTGAATTGATAACTTAGTTAAAGTGGGCCAATTCCTTGAAAGACACAAACTACCAGAACACACACTAGGAGAAATAGATAACCTGAATTGTCCTATATCTATTAAATAAGTTAATAATTAATACACTTCCCAAATAAGAAGTGCAGATGGTTTCATTGGTGAATTCACAGTCTCTTCCAGAAAATAGTAGTACAGAGAACTCTCCTAACTCATTTTATGAGGCCAGCTGTACCACATACCAAAACCAGAAGACATTACAAACCAATATTTTTCATGAATGTAGATGTAAAAATCCTCAACAAAAGTAGATTGCAATGACATATTAAAAGAATTACACATAATGACCAACTGGGATTTCTTCCACATATGCAAAGCTGGTTCAAAATTCAAAAAACAATCACTGTAATTCATTGTACCAACAGCAGGGAAAAGAAGAAAGTTCATTTGTTCATATCAGTTGGCATAGAAAAAGCATTTTACAATACCCAACACCTGTTCACGATAAAACTCTCAACAAAGTAGGAATAGAGGGGAACTTCCTCAACTTGATGAGAAACATCTATGGAAAACCTGCAGCTAATAGCTGACTGTATCTTAAAGTGCTATATATATTTAAAAAAAAATTTATTTTATATTGGAGTAGAGTTGATTAACAATGTTGTGTTAGTTTCAGGTGTACAGCGAAGTGACTCAGTTATACACATATACATGTATCTATTCTTTTTAAAATTATTTTCCTATTTAGGTTATTACAGAGTATTGAGCAGAGTTTCCTGTGCTATACAGTAGGTCCTTGCTGGTTATCTACTTCAAATATAGCAGTGTGTACATGTCAATCCCAAATTCCCAATCTGTCCCTCCTCCCCACCCTTCCCCTTTGGTAACCATAAGTTCGTTCTCTAAGTCTGTGAGTCTGTTTCTGTTTTGTAAATAAGTTCGTTTGTATCTTTTTTTTTAGATTCTGCGTATAGCAATATCATATAATATTTGTCTTTCTCTGTCTGACTTACTTCACTTAGTATGATAATCTCCAGGTCCATCCAGGTTGCTGCAAATGGCATTATTTCATTCTTTTTAATGGCTGAGTAATATTCCATTGTATGTATGTATCACATCTTCTATATCCATTCACCTGTTGATGGACATTTAGGTTGCTTCCATGTCTTGGCTATTGTAAACAGTACTGCAGTGAACACTGAGGTGCATGTAACCTTTCAAATCACGTTTTTCTCTGGATATATGCCCAGGAGTGGGATTGCTCTCCAGCATTTATTATTTGTAGTTTATATATATGTCAATCCCAATCTCCCAGTTCATCCCACCCCTCTTCCCCCCTTGGTAACCATAAGCTTGTTCTTTACATCTGTGACTGTATTTCTGCTTTGCCGATAAGTTCATCTGTACCATTTTTCTAGAATCCACATATAAGTGATACTATTTTATATTTGTTTTTCTTTCTGACTTACTTCACTCTGTATGGCAATCTGTAGGTCCATCCACGTCTCTGCAAATGGCACTATTTCATTCTTTTTTATGGCTGAGTAATATTCTATTGTATATATGTACCAGATCTTCTTTATCCATTCCTCTGTCTATGGACATTTACATTGTTTCCATGTCCTGGCTATTGTAAACAGTGCTGTAATGAACATCGGGGTGTATGCATCTTTTTGAATTATGGTTTTCTCTGGATATATGCCTAGGACTGGGATTGCTGGGTCATAGGGTAGCTCTATTTTTAGTTTTTAAGGAACCTCCATACTGTTCTCCACAGTGGCTGTACCAATTTACATTCCCACCAACAGTGTAGGAGGGTTCCCTTGTAGACATTTTGATGATGACCATTCTGACTGGTGTGAGGTGATATCTCATTGTAGTTTTGATTTGCATTTCTTTAATAATTAACGATGTTGAGCATCTTTCCATGTGCCTCTTGGCCATCTGTATGTCTTTGGAGAAATGTTTATTTAGGTCTTCTGCATATTTTTTGATCGAGTTGTTTGGTTTTTTGACATTGAGCTACATGAGTTGTTTGTAAATTTTGCTAAAGAGCTATATTTTAAGATAAAATATAAATGATTGGCATATGACTTGTGACCTAACATATTCTTCAAATGAATTTCTCCTGCCATCACACATGAATGATAGACTGAGTAAAAAGCTTTTATGTCATAGACTTTTCCCTCAAAAATATTTACACTTTTATTTACATTTATATTTGATGATGATTGTTTTTTCTCATTTACTTTAAGTGATTTCATGGCACAGCTAAAGTTGGCCAAGAAAAGTATAGTACTTTCTCAAAGTTCTGAGCTGCTGAACGTTAATGATGGTGTCTATTTATGGAAACTGAAAGTTGGCAGCATTTTACAATGAGGCTGGGGAAAGGGTGCTAATACTGAAGGGCTGACCTTTATTTCTCAAGTTAGTACCACTCCATTTATCTGCCTCTACCTCCATCTCTCTGCCTCCTCACATCCACTCATTGAGCTTTTCTTTTAAATGCATAATTTTATTCTTACAAAAATGAACTCCATTCAAACAAACTCCAGACAACTCAGACCACTTGATGTTTGAGCTATGTGTTCAACAGAGATGTAAATTAGAATTTATAGGGAAAATCAAACCCCATTGTGAAAAGGATTAGAGTAAAGTGTCTCTTTCCAGTGCCAGAATTTGTAGTGGAAGAGCTTATTTTAAATAGACTTTTATTTTGAGACTCCTCCACACCTTTCAAATACATAACAGATTTCTGAAAAAGTACTGCACAATGTAACTATGAATGGTGTATATGAGCTACTTTCTATTATTCATGCGAGTTGTAAATATATGAAAAATTCAAGAGAAATAAAATATTTATGACCTTAAGCAATCGTCCTACTATCCCTATGAAGCTAGCAGTATCAGAAAGTATGTTTTGAAAACTTGGCACAAAAATGTATCTTTCAACTTTTTAAATTGAGCCAAGGGGACCATGGAACTTTTGGGAAAGAGCAGATGAGATTTCATGATAATACCATAATATCAAAATGATTTGAGTCTAGA